TAGTGCCTAAGGCACTTGACTGCTAACCAAAAGGCTGGTGGTTCATACCCACCAGCCACTCCTCTGAAGGAAGATGGGGCAGTCTACTTCCGTAGTGATACTGTCTCAGAAACCCAAGGAGGGGTCGCTATGAGTCGGGTCCGACTCGACAGCAACATAACAACAACAACAAACTCAGCATAATGTCCTCCAAGTTCATCCATGTTATGCAGTGTTTTTGCAGACTCTACATTATTCTTTGGTGCTGCATAGCATTCCATTGTGTGTATGTACCATAGTTTGGTCATCCACTCTTCCGTTGATCGGTACGTAGGTTGTTTCCATCTTTTTGCTATTATAAATAGTGCTGTGATGAACATGAGCATGCATGTATCTGTTCCTGTCCTGGCTCTCACCTCTCTAGGATATATACCTAGTAATAGGATTGCTGGGTTAAGTAGAATCTCCAATTCCCACTTTCTAAGGAATCTCCATACGGCTTTCCACAGTGGTTGTATCACTTCACAGTCTCACCAGCAGTGTATGAGAGTCCAATCTCTCCACATCCCCACCAGCATTTGTTATTTTCTGTCTCGTTAATGCCATCAACCTTGCCATCAGTGCTGGGGTGAGATGGTTTCTCACTGTTGTTTTGATTTGCATCTCTCTGATGGCCAATGATCATGAGCATGTCTTCATGTATTTGCTGGCCACCTGAATATCCTCCTTGGTGACGTGTCTATTCATGTCTTCTGCCCATTTTTCAATTGGATTGTTAAACCTTTTGCTGTTGAGGAGTTGGAGTTTGTTCTGGTTACCTAGTGCCGCTCTGACAAGAAATATACCACAAATGGAATGGCCTTAATAAACAGGAGTTTATTCTTACAATTTGGAGGCTTTAAGTCCAAGTTCAAAGTGCCAATCTCTAGTGTCTGGGTGAAAGCCCCTCAACCTTGGGGTCCAGCTCTGCCTCCTGCTCCTGGCCCACTGGAACTAGAGGCATTTCTTCACTAGACAGCTGCTGACTGCTGAGGCTGAAAAACCCAAGGTTGACAAGTAAAAAGGCACAGTCCCGATATTACCAATCCACATGGCAGGCCGTTAACTTAAGTCCACTGTAAGTTCCAAGGTTGGCAGAGCATAGCAGGCTGCTGAGCAATGACACAGCTACATGCAGGGTCCAAGCATGCCATAGGCTGGAGACCATTCTCAAAGCGTCTCCTTATATACAGGAAGCAGACCACATACCCAAAGGCTGCTACTCAGCTGCTCCCAGTAGGTTCCACCATGGAATTGATTGCCAGTCTCATCATGGGAAATAACGACCACCAGCTGCCCAGCCACTCAACCAGGCCCAGCCAAGTTGACACACAAACA